CCTAAAAAAAAAAAAAAAAAAAAAAAAAAAAAAAAAAAAAAAAACCCAAAAAACAAAACAACAACAACAACAAAACATTAAAAAAGAAAGAAAGAAGAAGAAACAAAACAAAGAAAAACACAAGGGCTGGGGATGTAGCTCAGCGTAGAGCCCCTGCTTAGCTTGCCCCAAGGACTCTCCTTGGACATCAGGCACATATATGGTACACACACATACATACAGGCAAAAACTCATATGCATAAAATGCACAAATCTTAAAAAAAAAGAGCTTTAAAAAAGGAAAGCAAAAGGAGAGTTTCCTTTAAAAATCGTAATTATGGCTGAGGATTGACTACAGAGCGTTTGCACAACACGCATGAACCTCACCACACTAAATAAATAAAAATAAATATAACCATCGTATGTCCCAGAAATCCCACCTTTGGGTGTCTGTGAAATCAGTATCTCAGGGCTGGGGAGACAGCTCAGCAGTTAAGAGCACTTACTGTTTGTTCTTCCAGAGGACTCAGGTTTGGAAGGTTCTTAATTATCTGTAACTCCAGCTCCAAGGGATCCATTGGCCTCTTCTGGCCTCTGGATACCTGTACACAAGTGGCATACACTGAAAGACACATGACCATAAATAAAAATAAATATTTTTAAAGTCAGTATCTCAGAGAGATACCGCCTCATATCCACCGATTTACAATAATCAGAGTATGGGAACAATCTGAGTATCAGCGGATGGGTAAATAAAGAAAAAGATATACATAAAAATGGAATATCACCTGCCCTTTAAAAAAAAAAAAAAGAAAAGGAAATCCCGATGTATATCTGTGAGGCTGTTGGGATTGTATTAGGTGGAGTAAGGAAAACAAATAGTGTGTGTTCTCAATGATAGGTGGCAGCCAAAATTCTAAGTCATATAGGAGAAGAGGTAAAGTGTGGTTACCAGGGACAGGGTGGGACAGCAAACTCTGAGATGTTTGGTAAACATAATTGTTTAAGACTTTGTTGGTTTTCATTTCAAACTTTTTGCTATGTTTTTCTCTTGGATTTTTTTTTAAAGATTTATTTATTTTAAGTATGATTGCTCAATTTGCATGTACACCTTTATGCCACAAGAGGGCATCAGATCCCACTATAGATGGTTGTGAGCCACCATGTGGTTGCTGGGAATTGAACTCAGGACCTCTGGAAGAGCAGCCAGTACTCTTAACCACTGATCTCTCCAGCCCCTTCTCTTGAAAATTAGTGGTTATAGTGCTGCCCAAATTTCCAGGTAAAAGGTAATTTTCTATGTTAGTGTATAAGGTAGCTATTGAATGAAAAGTAGAAGTTAACAGTAAGTAAAATGCTAAAGGAAAACACTTATTTTCACCATTCCAAGATAAACAATTTAAGACTTTAGGTATGTATATATCTTTTTAAAAATATGGCCTATATCCTATGTACAATATGATTCCAAGAATATTATAAGTATATTTCTGTTTCATTCCTTTTCTTTAATAAAATAATTGTTACAATAATAATTAGTGTGTATGTGAGTGTATGATGTATGTGTATGATCTATGTGTGTGTGATGTGTATGTGTGAATGCTGTGTGTGTGCTCTGTGTGTGTGTGTGTGCTGTGTGTGTGTGTGTGTTCTGTCTCTTTCTCTCTGTGTGTGTGTGTTCTGTGTGTGTGTGTGTGTGTGTGAGTGTATGTGTGTGTGTGCTCTGTGTGTGTGAGTGTGTGTGTGTGTGTGTGTGTGTGTGTGTGTGTGTCTGTGTGTGTGTAGGCCAGAGAACAGTTAGTTTTCTTTATTCCATCTTTACTTTTGGTTGTGAGCTATTTTTCCAGCCCTCATTTCACCTTTATGTATTTATTTACACCTTTATTCATTTAATTCCAGGGATTGAACCTGTTGAGCCATCTTTGCCAGGCGCTTTTCATCTCCTTTAATGACAATTGTGACTGAAGTCTATAAAGAAACCACGTCTGTATTGAAGACTGATTGACTGGTCCTAATGTCACCACGAAGTTAGTCAGTGGAGAAATGCAAGTTTATGGATGAGCGTCAACAGTAGGTTGGGCTTGCTTTAGTCCCTTAGGGACTATTTGTTGCCAATTTATGTTTCTTCTTAACTATTAGTTAAAAATTTCAGAATGTATTATGTACTTGACTACTGAATTCTACCACCTCTAAATCTAAAAGTTATAAGGTAGCATCAGAAACCTCCAGAAAAGGCCTCTTCCACTCTGTCATACTTGGCCATTTAATGTCCCCATCGATGTGTCTGGTCAATGCATTGATTTGGGGCTTTTTTTTCTTTAAAACTTCATATAACCTCTCTGAAGTGTACATCATTCTGAGTGACCGAGTC